AGTAAAGAATAGTTTTGAACTTTAGAATTAGTACAGTATATATTGATACAGTATATAGTTCTATGTGTTTTTTTTTTGTTAACAGTTATATGTAATACTGTAATACATAATAAAAAAATTTATTCTAAACTGCTAGGGTAGGACCGGTGTGGGACCTGTGTTGGACCACATTTTGACAGGGGGGTGAACTAGTTTTCAACTAGTCCTGGACCGGACTTTTTAGGGACCGGACTGGGACCGAACCAGACGAACCATTTAATATCCCTATTTACTACTAACTAATTCTAATATCCCTATTCAGTTGTGATATATCATTTATATAATATTTGATGCTAGAATAATAACCTAAATATGCCAAAACTATACATTATAATTAAGACATGTTTAAAGTATGCTGTTTGGTATATGATCTCGACAAGCAAGATTGAAAATATTAATCATTGCATCAGAGAATTTAACTTAGAACTACAAGAATGCAATTCACTCAATAAATTACTGTATAAGTTCGAAATGCTGCTTGAGAGTAGTATTTTAAAAATCATATTCTTCAAAATTGTTCTTGACATTAGTACTCATGGCTATCCTGCATTAACACATTTCCTAATATAATATATAATTTATTGTTCAATAAATAATATATATTTAATACTTTTTTATAAGTGCACTTCATATGTATTTTTCTTATAATGCTAAAAGTGTATATAATTTGATCGTTCTATTGTAATTATTTAATATAGGGCAACACGAAGATTGATTATTTTCCAATAATTGTTACACAATAATAATATTAATAATGATTGATATCACACTATAATGTAAAATTAAACAGCCAATTATACAAAGTCTTTCTATGATATAAAACCGGATATCTGGTATAATGAATTATTAAATGATTTAAACTGTCAATCATACGAAAGTCTTTCTATGATATAAAACTGGATATCCGGTATAATGACTTTTTTTTAAATTATTAAATTTAAACTGCCAATTATACGAAAGTCTTCCTATGATATAAAACTGAATATCTGGTATAATGAATTAATTAGAACTTTCTTATTAAATTATTAAATTAATTTAAACTGCCAATCATACGAAAGTCTTCCTATAATATAAAACTGGATATCTGGTATAATAAATTAATTAGGACTTTTTTTTAAATTAGTATATTATGATCATATGAACTGGCATGCATACTGACACAAGGCTAATATGATAGCATGTGCTTTTGATATAATTTAAAAGTATTTTTTTTATAGTATATTAATAAATAAATATATATATATATAGAACTAAATTTTATTTAATAAAGAATTCCAGTTTGTTGTAAAGTAATATATATAGTTATTATAATATTAATCCTAACCATTATTAACATATCTTTGTAAAAAAAAAATTTTAGTTGTATACTGTAATTTAATTTAGCAAGTTTGAAGTTAAGATAAGAATTTTTTAAAGTAGATACTGTATCTATTCAGTATCTATTTAAAATCTAAATCTAATCACTAAATAATAAGTATAAAATTTATTTTTAATCTCAAGCCTTACTTTGTATATATAAGTTATAATACTTATTTAGATATTAAGATAAAAATAATTAGTTATTTATAATTTCATTTATTCTTTAAAAATTTATATCTATATTATTTATAACAAATAATAATTTTTATATATTTATATCTTAGTTATAATCTTATTACTTTGTACTTAATAATAATTATACTAATAATATTTATTTAAGCTGTGTTTTTTAGCTTTGTTTAAAACTTTGTTGCAAAATAATTAATAACTTAATTAGTAATTGTATATATTATCATATTAAATTTTTAATTTCTAAATTTAATTAAGCTTTTAATATTTTTACTTAATTGTGTATAATTATTTATTTTTTAGATAATGGCATCATCTTCTAGTAATACTGTATCCTTAGAAGAACGTCAAAAGCAACTTAATCGTGAGCGCCAAAAACGGTTTAGAAATAAGAATAGAGAAACTATTTCACACTTATTTGATGATGTTTTTGAAGAACTTGAATACTTATTTAATACTGAAGTTCCTATAGTTGTAGTTGAATCTATTGAAACTTCTGCTATAGATACTGATTCCGGTTCTGATTCTGATGATCTCTTGCCTTTACCTAATACTAAAGTTCCTACAATTACTAATCTTGAGTTTATTAATACTCAAAGTAATCAGAGTTCTCGCCATGATAAAACTAAACATCATGATATAGGTAGAATAAATCAAACCTGTCGACATTGTAAAGCTAAATTTTGGATAACTGAAAAAAATCAAAATAGTAGAATTGCTGCTTCAAAATTTTCTCTTTGTTGTGCTAATAACAAAGTGCAATTACCACCTTTACTTGAACCTCCACCTTATTTACTAAATCTTTATACTTTGACTAATCCAGATGCAGTTGAGTTTCGTAATTATACTAGAGGTTATAATAGTGCCTTGGCTTGTACATTTTTTGGTGCTAATGTAGATAATTAATTTTTGGGACATGATATAGCAAATTTTCGAATTCATGGTCAAGTCTATCATTTAATTGGATCATTATTACCAAATGAAGGTCACACACTAGCATTTGCTCAACTATATATTTATGATACTGCAAATGAAATTACAAATCGTCAAAATGCAATGCAAAAATTAAATGAAAATATTTTACAAAGTTTACAGAATATGCTAGATATCTGCAACCCATATATTCAAAATTTTTGGCAAGTAAGAAATATTATACATAATAATGTAACTACTGAAATTTCAATGATAATTCATGGTGATAGAAATCAAGATATTCGTCATTATAATGCTCCAACAGCTTCTGATGTAGCTGCAATAATGGTAGGTGATGGATATAAGATAAATCCAACAAGTCGAAATATTCTTCTTAGAACACGTGATGGAAATTTGTAGCAAATAGCAGAGTTTCATCCTTCATATGATCTACTTCATTATGTATTATTATTTCCTAAAGGTGATGATGGATGGCATATAAATATACCACTTATAAATGCTTTAAAAAGAGAACGAGTAACAGCTATGCAATTTTACTCTTATAGATTGCAAATTAGAGATGATGATTGGATACAGTATGCTGGCCATTTATATTAACAGTATATTGTTGATCAATATGCTAAAATAGAACAAAATCGTTTAATTTACCTTAAACATAATCAAAAATCTCTTCGTGCTAAATTTTATCAAAGTATTATAGATGTAATACATGCTAGAGATTGTAGTAATACTGTTGGTTGTTGTATAATTCTTCTATCATCTTTTACAGGTAGACCACGTCAAATGTATCAGTTATATCAGGATACAATAGCAATTATTACTCACTTTGGAAAACCAGATCTTTTTGTTATATTTACATGTAATCCTAAATGGCCAGAAGTTACTAGAGAATTATTACCTCATCAGAATGCTGTTGATAGGCCTGATTTAACAGCCTGTGTGTTTCATATAAAATTACAAGCACTATTAAAAGATTTGTGTAATAATTATTGGCTTGGTAAAGTTATTGCATATGTATATATAGTAGAATTTCAAAAATATAGTCTTCCCCATATATATATTTTATTAATTCTTGCTTCAGATGACA